CAGGTAGAAACAGAAACTAGTTACCAACCTGTATTGAACTGTTTTAATATTTTAATAACGCATATGGTCTTGTGGGTGCCTGCAGCTGAATAGCAGGTTCATTTGTACTTTCAACAAGTGACTCCATTTATGACTTTAGTATTCTACACCTCAAATGCTTTTAACTTACTTAAGGAGACAAACAAATTATATTGCTCTTTCTATGAATACATAGATGAATGAATATCTGAATCATCTTTACTTGGGAATATTTGGGGAGTTGAAGTAAGTTATACTTGGCTTGTAAATGTTAAAAACTATAAATTGCACCAATTTTTTTTGGTTAAGTTTAAACATTTTTTTAAATGAGATTTTTGTTTTATTTCTTGGCAGACAGCATTTCTTTATTGAATCCTGGATTGACCATTACTTTAGTAAATGAAGGCTAAAAAGAAAAAAATTAATGAAGGGATGTAATAATAAAATCTCCTTACATGTCATTTGGCATTTCATTTTGTTTTAATGCATATTTATTGCAATCACTTACTAGGAACCACAGTTATTGTTGTGGAAAATGCTCAGATGAGTAAGACAAGGTATATGCCCTTTAGGGGATGCAGAAAGAGATACAATGGGGCGCCTAAAGCAGAGTAATGGGTAAAGAAGAATATTCCGAGTGGTGATAAGTGTGAGTCTGGGGTATAGAGTAGGAGGAAAGCAGTAAGTAGGAGACAAGTCTGGAAAGGTGCAATGTTAGTCAAGATGCTTTCAGTTGTAAGTGACAGAAAACAACACAAACTACCTTGAGCAAACAGGGGTTTAATTATAGTGTAACTATGAGGCCTGAGAGGTGTAAATAGATAGGTGGCCCTATGGCTTTGGGGGTAATATTGATGTCAGTGTAGGTTCATTTACTGTAACAAACATATCACCATGGTGCATGATGTTCATAGTGGGGGTGGCTGTGCATGTGTGGGGGCAGGGGGCATGTGGGAACTCTATACATTCTGCTCAATTTTGCTGTGAACCTAAAACTGCTCTATAAAATAGAGTCCATTTAAATAAAAAATTTAAAAAAGGTGGTAGGGCTGCTGTTAGCCGACAGCCTTTTGAATGGACACATAAACTTAAATAGTTTCAATTTAGAGGATAAAAATGTCCCCTGCTGACCAAATGGAGGCCTGTGAGCCAGCAGCTGCCCAGCGAGACTGTACTCAGCCTTTGACTTTTTATCCCTTTTCTGGTATCACCCACTTGGTTCTATGCTAAGGATCTGTATTAGTGATAGTGAGTAAATTCACTCATTGTCAAAATGTAGGTTTTTAATGCATTTTATGTGCCACGCCCTGTGCTTCGTGCACAGTGGAAAAGCAATGTCAAAACATGAGCTCTGCCCTCAAACTTTATAGATGTATAGTTTTTCTCAAAGGGTGGTCCACTGATCACTGATTAAAAAAAGTTATGAGATGTCCTACATTAAATTATATCAGGCTGGAGGGTGGGAGGAAGAGATAAGGCAATTTAATCAGCAGCATGGGGCTGCACTAACAAAACACTAGCCGCATTCCTGAATGTATATTGAAACTGTGAATCAACTTCCAAGCACTAGATCAGCTATTATCTAGAAAGAATAGCCCACCACCAGATGCCACCCATCCTGCTTACTCGTGAACATCCAGATTATTGCTCACCACCAATCCAGAAACACATAGTTCTGTCCCAGAACCTGCTTCGCCTTTTCTTGCCCCCTTATCTATAGCCAATGTAAATTCTTTCAAAACAGCTTACACCTTTCTTCCCCAAACTCATTGCATACCAGAGCCCTGCCAACCCCAGGATGGTAGCATGTTTGTCTTCTCCATCTAGCCCTGATGCTGATGGTTTTGACTGCATGTCCCAGGACCTGGTCCTTTCTCTGGCTAGCATATAGCCTTTCTTTCAGGACAGCTTTTGGTCTCGAAGGTTTTTGTTTAACATCACCTATATTGAAAGCACTTTATGGCACTCGTTAAAATCACAGAATTCAGTATTTTATTGTAGATCTTCAGAATAAAAATCGGTGCTGTGTATGACTTGGGAATTTGCATTTGTAACAAGCATCCAACTGCCTTGACACTCAAAATGTGGTATCACCTGGGAGTTCACTAGAGGTGCAGAGGCCCCACCACAGACCTCCTGAATCATAATCTGCATTTTAACAAGATCCCCACACATTAAAGTTTGAGAAGCACTGGTCTGGAAGACCTATGAGTATATAGATGAATTTGGTGCAATGTGACAAATGCATTGAAAGAGGGACACGTGAGTTCCTCTGGGCATGCATAAAAGGAACAGGTTCCTCTGTCAGAAGTTTTCGGGAGAGGTGTAATGTCACTTGCTTCTTAAAGAGCAAGGAAATTTGGCCAGGCTAAAGAGATGGGGCAGGGGTGAGAGCCCTCATCAGAGAAACCCACATATACCAATGTCCTGAGCCAAAAGAAACCATGCCATGTTTAGGGAGGGAACAAGAAATGTATCTCACATTGCAGTCTTTTTTTTTTTGTAACGCATTTAAACTCTGAACATCAACCAAAGGATATATATTTTTTAGTTCAATAGTTAAAGATGTTCTCATTAAACTTTAAGGGGGAGAGGTAATCAGATTTTTTTATTCTTATCATGCTGCTTTTTCTGGCCTTCTTTGACAATTTTTTTCCATTCATTCATTCAAACATATACAGATTGGGCAGTGTGCTTTGTGACTATTATGTGGTAGTGAGTGAAACTGAAAGAGTTCCTGCCTTCAGGGAGTTTGTAGGTGAGGCTGGAGTAAGGTTGAAGAAGCCAATTAAACAGGTGAATAAATTGTGTAATTATTGTGTTGTCAGAAAAGTCATGACATATTTTGTCTATGTTTTTCAAAGGTCATTTATTTATATAAAGAACAAAGATCAATCAATGATATATCGCCTGTTTTGTTCAATAACCTTTTGCCATTTTTCAGTGAGTTTCATAATTCCTCGTTCATAGAAGGACCTGTCTTTATTTGCGAAAAACTGAACAAGGTGCTGATTTTCTTTTTTCTTTTTTTTCCCCTATGCCGTCGCCGGTGACTCAAGGCAGCCCAGCTCCAGGTTGAGCTGTTGTTCAGCACCTTAGCTGTGGAGGGCAGTGTCACTGGCCCTCCCATGTGGGATCCGAACCAGGGCCCTCTGGCGTCGCAAGCCAGATCTTAACCATCACGCCACTCGGCCGGCCCAACAAGGTGCTGATTTACAGCCTCATCTGAATTGAACGTTATACCACGCAGGGAGTTTTGAAGAGAGCGAAACAAGTGGAAGTCTGATGGCGCAAGGTCAGGCGAGTATGGTGGGTGTGGCAACACATCCCATCCAAGCCCCAATTATTTTTGACGGGTGATCAAACTTGTGTGTGGTCTCGCATTGTCACGATGGAGCACAACTCCTTTACAATTAACAAGCTCTGGATGTTTCTGGATGATGGATTCATTCAAACTACCCAGTTGCCAACAGTACACATTCAAATTGATTGTTTATTCCTTGGTAGGAGCTCAAAACACATGACACCTTTAAAATCCCACCACACTGAGAGCATAACCTTCCTCTGATGAATGTCTGCTTTCGATGTCATGTGAGGTGAATCATCACGTTGGGACCAAGACTATTTGCACACCACATTGTTGTAAACAATCCACTTCTCATCACCAGTTATCAGTCGCTTCAAAAAAGGATTATTTTCCTCATGTTTAATGAGCATACTGCAGATGCTTATACGTGCCATCAAATGAACTTCTTTGAGTTCTTGCGGAACCCAAATATCAAGCTTGCTTACATATCCCAGCTTCTTCAGGTGGTCTTGAACGCTTGAATGATGGATGTTCAATGTTTCTGCAATCTCTTGAGTTGTGTAACGTGGGTTTGACTCTATGAATGCCTTTATTTTGTCATCAACCTCAGTAGGCCTCCCTGACTGAGGAGTGCCATTGAGATCAAAATCACCAGCACGGAATTTTGCAAACCGTCTTTGGCACTGAAGTTCTTGTAGATCATTGTCACTGTAAACTTTATGCAACTTTTCACAAGCTTGATGCACGTTCTTCCCTTTATGAAAGTAAAACAGTAAAATATGGTGAAAATGCAGTTTGGTCTTCCATCTTCAACTTGTAAAATTTCCAAAACTCAACCAGATTGCTCAATTTTTTTTTTTAGAATGAAGCTAGAACTGTCAGCTGTCAAATTACATAGCAATAACATAGATGTGAATGACTCTAGTACTTCCTAAAATGAACTAGTGCCATCTGTTGCAAAAATGTGTCATGACTTTTCAGACAACCCAATATAAACTGAGAAAATGGCTAAAAAGTGTGATAGGATGGAGAAAAAGGCAGGAAACTTCAAATAAGGTTTTCCAGCCTGACTACCACCCTCTTGCAAACTGGCCAAAGTCACTGTGGGGTGGGGGAAGATGGGGTCTCTAAGGAGGTCCCAGGTCACCCGCCAGTTTTTGTGTAGCTGGGAATCCTAATGAGGGTTGAAGGCTACCCCTCAAAACCATCCCCTTTCAACCTGCAATCTGCAACATGAAAAGTGAAAATTGATTTTCACTGCAATTCCAAACTTGAAATGAGAAGCAATCTTCAGGTTCCAACAGTCCTATTTTCAGAAAACTTATTTGAGTAGTTCTGTTAGACAAGGGAGCTGCTAAAAATGGGTCCTGTCCCTGGTACTTTCCAAGTGAAATTTTCCAATTGCAAACATCATCTGGGCATTGAGAGGGGCAAATGAGGAGACTCTGCGGCAAAAACCATTGTTTTCAAAATGTGTGTAATAAAAAAAGGTGTATAAGAAAACAAAGAGATAACGTGGCCTGGTGGGCGCGGTCAGAACGCTTGGTCCTGACGACAGGAAAGACATCTTCAGAGCCTGGAACCTTGTGTGTGTGGGTCTCGCTTCCCGGGCTACTGCGGGGGAAGCATTTAAGTGTGGGACCGCGAGAAGCGCTTGTAAACAGAGAGCCCGGCGGAGGTCTGCGGCTAGACCGGCTGTCAGGGTGAGGCGGCCGGGTTCCCGAAGCCTAGCCCCAGCCAGGAGTAGACTGCAGGCCTCGCAGGTGAAAGCAAAGAAGCAGCCGCGGCCAGGTGAGCATCTTCCTGCTTCTGTGCTGCCTGGATGACCACTGGGGGAAGGGTGTGGGGATGACAGCATTGTAAATATCTGAAGCTCCCAGGGGTAGCGGTGATTTTGCTGTTTCTTCCATGCTCTTTTTTTAATTTTCATTTTGGAGACTGCACTGCATTGCAATGGGTACTGGGTTAGGGGAGATTACATGATGCCTTGTCTGCTTATTTTTATGAATCAGGTATATAAGTAGAAAGCAGTGGAAATAGCTGATGCTGTTCTGTGCGATGTTTTTAGTATCCCCATCCTCCCGGCTCCGGCTTCCTCCCCCGGGTCCTAGAAACCTAACCTCAGCAGAGCTGTTAACATCAAGCTGGGGCTCCCAAAGAAACAAGTATTGTTCCTTCTGTTGACTCTGCTCATTTTTAACGTATAGTTAATGACACAGTGTGACTGATGAAAAGCATGATTTGCTCTTCTGAGAAAATTACTAAGCTTAAAAAATCAGGATAAGGAAATTTCTGACCCGCTGCTCAAATAAAATGTTACTACTGAGATACACAAATAAACGGCATTAAGACTGATCTAGATTTATAGCTTGCAAAACAGGACGGATTTGAATTTACCAGGTTAAACTGACACTGAGCTATGCGGTTGTAAACTTGAAGATTTTTCCTCCTTGGAAAAGAGAAACACCTGTTTTTTGTTCTTGTGTGTATATATATATATATATATATATATATATATATATATATATATAAATATAATCTGTACTCTTTAATCCTCACAATATTCTTACTATCCTTATCATTATCGCCAGTTCATATATGCAGAAACTGAGGCATAGGAAGATTAAGAAACTTGCCCAAGGTGAATTGTTTCTTTAGTTTTTTTGTTTTTGTTTTTTTTTTTTAAGATTTTTTATTGGGGAATTGGGGGGATGGGAACAGGGCTGGGGAATTGGGGAAAGGGGAACAGACAAGTTTCTGTCATTTTTGTTCTTCAGTCTAGTTGTGGAGGACGTTGCTTCACTGGCCCAAGTTGGCACCAACATTGTGCTCTTCCCTGCTGAGGCAGATCAGTCGCTGGCTTCTGGACGGCCGCTCACTGCGGCTGCTGGCCGCTCACGCTGGCTGCTGGCCGCTCACGCTGGCTGCTGGCTACACACGGTAGCCCATGGCAACCCACTGCCACAGGGGCTGCAGCCTACGCCGTCGCTGGCGACTCATGGCAACCCAGCTCCAGGTTGAGCTGTTGTTCAGCATCTTAGCTGTAGAGGGCAGTGTCACTGGCCCTCATATGTGGGATCCGAACCGGGGCCCTCTGGCATCCCAAGCGAGTTCTTAACCATCGCGCCACTCGGCCAGCCCACAGTTTCTTTAGTTTTTTAATTTCAGTAGTCTCAATGAGTTGTTATTTGTATTCATTCATAAGATATTTTATTATTAAATGCCACATGTAAATTTTAATTGGTGTACCTAAAATAAAATAAAGGCAGTTTTTGTTTCATTAACTTCATGAAAATGCCTGAACCATAATTGGGCTTAAAAGGTTGGTTGATTTATATCACCTTGGTTATACAGTCTTAACTTTTAGTCAGTGGAAGAATATTAGGTTAAATTGCACATAGAGAAGTATTTTATTTATTTATGTATTTTTTTTTAGAAGGAAAGCACTCGAGAAGTGTTTTTAAATCATGCACAGCAAGGAAATACTATTAATGCCTGATGAGTTTGTCTTCATCATGAATATTTTCACAGTTCATAGCAAGAACTGTAAAGCCAGACTGGGTTTGAATTTCTTCTTGGCCACTTCCTATTGCATAACCTTTGAGAGTTTACTTGCTATGTTCCTTAATCTGGAGAATGAGAATAATGACAGTACTGATCTCAGGATTGTTGTGAGGATTAAATGAGTTAATATTTTTAAAGTGCTTAGAAAGGGAATGTAGTAATTGCTGTCTACATGCATGTTTGTTAATAAATACATAAAATAAAAATATACCAGTATTGAAAGTGAAGTGGTAGTTGCCAGGAGCTGGGGGGAGGGTCAAAATGGACAGTTGTTAAATGTGTATAGAGTTTTGCAAGATGAAGAATTCTAGAGATTGGTTGCATAAACAGTGTGAATGTACTTAATGGCACTAAACTGTACACCTAAAAATGGTTAAGATGATCAATTTTCTATCATGCGTGTTTTCCCACAATTAAAAATTTTTTAAAGTATTGGTGTTAGCAAAGTTACATATTCAGAATCTTTGTTAGCATACAGCAGCCCCATCCACAGTTGCTTTTGCCTTTGTGAATATGCAACTTCTGGCATTCATCAGTAAGATTTAATTTATGTGGCAAATTTATGCAATTAAGACATCATAAAGAGCACAAACAAATTATAAGAACACCTAAAAATCTATGGCAGACAGAATTCTAAAAATTCTACACCAAGATTGCATGCCCTAATCCCTGGAACCTGTACACATGATGAAATATCCTTTGATTATGTTGTTATATGGCACAGTTAAATTTAAGATGGGGGAAATTACTTGGGTTGGCCTAATCTAATCACAAGAGCCCATAAAAGTGGGACATTTTCTCCGGCTGGAGAAATCAGAGCGATTTGAAGCCTGAGAAGGACTGAACATGCTGTTGCTGTTTTGAAGATGGAAGGGACTCCTGAGAAGGAATGAGGGCAACCTTAAGAAATGCTGGAGGCCTAGAGTTGCTGAGGGTGGCCCCTCATGGAAACTGGAACCTTAGACCTAGCTAGGGCTCAGGGAACTGGAGCCCGCCAACAAACTGAATGAGCTTAGAACTGGGTTCTTTAGCAGAGCCTTTAGTTAAGGGCCCTGCCTGGCCAACACCTTGATTTCAACCTTGTGAAAGAGACCCAGAGCAGAGATCCCAGCCAAGTCTACCCAGACTCAGACCTTCAGAATGGTGAAGTACAAAGTTTTAAGCTGCTAAGTTTGTGGAAATACATTACATAGCAATAGAAAACTAATACAGACTCCCAGTGGAAAAATGGGCAAAAGACAGGAACAGACTATACCTAGAAGAGAAAATGAAATGTCTAATAGACATTGGAAAATGCATTCTCTTACCATTAATCAAAGAAATGAAATTGAAGCAACCGCAAGGTATTATTATTCCTGCTCTCATATTTATGTAGATTTAACAAATTATAACATTAGTAAGTGTGCAGTGGAGCAGACACTCTCAGATGCTGTGAGGGGTGTGCAAATGTTATAACCTTTCTGTAAAGCTCGTTGGCTGAATGTATGAAAAAACCTCATTAATGCTCCTCCTCCTTGATCCAGTAATTCCACTTCTAGCAAGCTACCCAAAGGAACTTACGAGAAATGTTTTAAAAGTTAATGTTCACAAATGCTTAAAATGGTTTTGGTTGGAAAAGTCAAATATTGGCAGTAGCCTAAATGCCCAAGAACAGGGGAACAGTTTAAATAAATTGTGGTATCATAAAAAGATAAGGTGTTATACAGATATTTAAAAGGATATTTATGAAGAATTTTTAACTGTGGAAAGATGTTTACTGATTATTGTTAAATGAGGGAAATAGAATAGAGAACTGTATCTACAGTATGCTCTCAACTGTGTTAAAAAAAAAAAAACCCAGAAAGATCTACCTACATAGGAAAGGTGCCAAAAAGGCCAAAATGGGGCAGCGAGTTTTTTTCCAATTGGAGGATGAATAAGCATTGTTTAGTTTTCCTTTTATACTTTCCTGTATTTTAAAAATGTTGAACAATGAACATGTAGTAGTTGTTGATAATCCTAATAGTCAATAAACATTATATTAAAGCTGTTAAGTCTCCACACTGGTGAATACAATGAATCTAAAACCTTGTCCCGTCAAATAATGGAGAAAATAAAAAGCTATAACTATCTTAAATATGTGGCGGAAAGTGATTTTTTTAAAAGAAAACTGTGAGATAGGAAATGATAAATGTTGTTGGAAAGGTTGAGGATAAAGTTGGTAACTTATTTCTTGATGGGCAATCGTTCAAAGCTTTGTGGCAGAAAGATCACTGAATGGCATACTTAAATAATAGAAAAAGAAGGTACTTGGTTGAATTTTTATTAAAAGTCTTTCTTATGGATTGATGGAATTTAGGCTTTGGGCTATAGACATAGGTTAATTATACAAGTGGAAAATAAAGAACTGTGATGAATATGTAACCATTGGCAAAAACAAAATAAACACAAAAAAACCCTGCATGTTGTGACTAGGAAAACCAAGCTAGACCTAGGCCAGTAATATCTGCATTAAAAAACATCCAAAGCTGATATTTATTGACTATTTATCAGATACTTGATATACTGTATTTCAGTTTGATCATGCATGTAGCCTAGTACTTGTAGTTAAGTCATACATTTACATGTTAAGAAGCAGGCAGGTAGATGGGTGCTACTTTAATTATTAGTTTCAGAAAACCTGATTTGAATAGAAACCTGGAAAATGTTAGATCATTTTGGGCAGATTTTTACAAGACATTCCATCTTTACACAGTTTTCAGGAGCTCCAGACCACTGCTACGCCTTCATTTTTTTCACTGGCTCCTTTTCCTGTTTCCACTTTACCCTATCCTCTCACACCTATAGAAAAATACAGAAAGTGTCTGTTGCCCCATTGGCTGCTAGCCAAATGGTGGTTTTCTTCATGAGACATGTTAATCCTTTAAAAGAAACCATATGGAGGGATATCTAGCAAGGAGTTGCTTCCCCCCCTCCCCCTTTTTCTTTTAGAGTGGATTTTGTATTTGGTTCTTAAGTAGCCAAACTATACCATAGCTTGGAGCTTCTGGTGTAAGCTAAATAATTCAGAGGACTCAGTAGTGAGTGAGAATGTGATAAAAATGACCACCAGTATTAAATTCCATGCATTGTTGGCTGTATTTCATCAGCTACTGTAGATATTACCAGACAGACAATAAAAAGCCCACATAATTTACTTTCACACTAACAATAAGGTGAGAACTTTATTTGGTCCATGAGTGTAATTA